TGTGCTCTTCCGATCTCTCAATTGAATCATTACAAATATCTCCCGGACTTAATGATTTCATCTTCGATATGATACAGAAAAGAATTGTCAATTTTACGTCATTGGATAGGTTATGCGTAATTTGTATTGATGAAATGTCTTTAAGAGCAAATCTTCATTATAATATTAGTCGTGACGAAGTGATAGGATTTGAGAATCTTGGACATCAAAAAAAATTCTTGCCAGCATGTAATGCTGCTGTAATTATGATAAGAGGTGTCTGTACATCTTGGAAGCAACCAATTGCTTACTATTTATTAAATTCAACTTTTTATGAAGCAGACGTACTAAATGCTGTACAAGAAGTAATCAAGAGATTACAAAATATTGGATTAAAAGTTATTGCACTTGTTACAGACATGGGTAAAAACTATCAAAATATGATTAAGCTTCTTGGTGTAACTACCGAAATCCCATATTTTGAAATTAATGGTGAACGTATTCATTATTTAGCTGACTCACCACATTTAATTAAAGCTACAAGAAACAATTTTTATATTAACGATATTAAGTACAATAATAATCCAATTTCTTGGAATCATATTGTAACTCTTTATAATCACGATAAAGACCAATCAAATCGATTAGCTTATAAACTAACAGATACTCATGTCAAACCATCAGGATTTGATCGAATGAAAGTAAAATATGCTGTTCATACCTTAAGTGCCACGGTGGCAGCAGCCTTGAAAACACTACATGTTCTAAATATTTTACCAGCAGTTGCATTAGCGACAATAGAATTTATTGAAAAATTCGATAGTTTATTTGATATTTTTAACTCATCTACAGTAATAAATAAAAAAAGCTATAGGCAAGCTTTTACTGGAGCACAGCATCAATTACAATTTTTACAAAAAATGTTTGATTATATATTAGGCTTAAAAGTTTCAAAAAAGGGAAAAGACATCACAAATAGAGTGCAAGTTTTTAAATTTTGGAAATTAAACATAAAATCTCTACAGTTACTATGGATTCATATGCAAAATACTCTGCCAGATATTAAATTCTTGCTCACAAGGCGATTAAATCAAGACGCACTGGAGAATTTTTTCGGAAAAATTCGAATGTTAAACGGCGCGGCGTATACTGTTACACCAGCTCAGTTTCATTTTGGTTTTAGAAAATTATTTTCTACATGTTATATGACGACAGAAACTGGAAACTGTGCCGAAGATCGCGACTTAA